AATTGGTACCGAGAACCGTGGATTTTCACTGGTATTGGTACCGAATACTGAAATTTTGGTACTGTGACAACACTAAAAATTACACATACATAATTAAATATCCAATATTGACTGATTAAGAAAAATTATATATAAAATAAAAATGTTTAATATTGTCCAAAATCCAATATGGTACCACTTAAACATATTTTCTTCAACCAGGGTTCATTTAATATTATTTTATGTGATTTTTTTCCACATAGTGTAAATGGATTGTGTTATGTCAGCAAGAGAAGTATAAAACTGTAGAGGAAATCGAGAAATGTATGGGTTATCTGTACTGATAGTTAGCTGCAGATGTTATTTTTCTGTCCTCTCTCCATCAGACAGTGGAATATCCTGAGGGAAATGAAAAAATTCCACTTCCCTCAGTGTTTCCCCTCCTCCTTGCTTGGAAGCACAAAGGTTTTTATTTTCCATCAGTATCAACAGACCTTGCTACGTTTACACTCTTCACTGATCACAAGACAAACAAAGAAGCGTTAAATAATTAAAATCTGAAATGCTTGTGAAATATTTACATCCTTACTTTGCTCAGAAAACCTGTTTGTTATAGTTGGTTTAATTGAGTTAATTATTTACTTCATTAAACATTTTAATTGAGAGAAGACAAATATCTTATTAAAACTAGGCTGTGCAAAGCCCACTTTTGCATTCAGTTTACTCGAAAAACAAAGCCATCAGAGATTTCATAAAAAAAAAAAAACCTGCATCCAGTTTCCAAGTAAGACAATCTGAAGTTTTTCCACTCTGTGGAGGTTTTAGGCTGGAGGGCAGAATATGTCCTGCTCCGTACCCCAGCCGTGATGCTCTCTTACTGGGCACAGTGCAAAGAATTCTCCCTTCAGCAACTCTGGTGGCCTCTGAATGAATTTCACATAGCTGAAATACTTTAGTCAGCCTAGAGAGTCACAGGTGGGCTTTAGGGTCCTCAATAAAGAAGATTTACCTGTCAAGTAGGGATGTCCCGAGCCGTTGTCAAGGATCTGGATCGGGGCCGATTAAGCATTTTTTGACTGATTGGTATTGGCTATCCTAAACCCGATCCTTATTTTACTTCAGCTATCATGCCGGTGTCATGCAGTAGGTGGTGATGCCTTCCAGTAGGTTTGCCAACCTCCATTAAAAGGAAAAGAAGACACACAAATGAGCGTGCGAGAACCAATGAGGTCTGTCCTAGCGCCTCACACACACACACACACACACACACATTCGAGCTTCAGTGTTTTAAGTATTTGATGCACACTTTAGTAACGAATCACTCGAAAAGTCATTATGACATTGTTTACTTTTATCTGCCATTGTTGTCATAACGTGTTGCTATGGGTTGCGTCTTGCTTCGGACTTGACTGACAGACTGGTGTTCTGGCATTCGCAAGCTTCGTGCTTTCTAACCTTATTTCCACTTCTTTTTTGCAATTATTCTGCTTATTGTACATATGCAATACAAGTTTATGTCATAATTGTGACCACACAGTCTATTTACAATGTCTACCATTGTTTACATCTATTAATGCTAAATATATATATATATATATATATATATATATTTATTTATTTATTTATTTATTTATTTAAAATTACTGTAGTAATTGTTATTTTTATTAATGTTACATATAAATAATTTTTTACATTTGAGCCCCTCTCTGCACATCCCTGTATAAACTGGATTGATTTTAATACCTTTAAGTTTAATGTACTTGAAGTATGCACCAAGCACTTGGAAAATACAAGTATCAGATCGGGACTTGGTATCAGCAGATACTCAAAATTCAGTGACTCGGATCGGATCGGTGCACAAAAAAACCTGATCGGGACATCTCTAATGTCAAGCTGAAGATCTTCATAAAGTTAGGCTTGGGTTTGTTCTTCATCCTCCACTTTGAGTTTAAAATAAACTCTGGCTTCCTTCCTCAGTGCAGCGATGTGTTGCTGTATCCAAGGCACTGCCCATCTTTGTTGACTAAATCTTGAGCACTGACTGTCCAAGTCAAGGTCATTATGGTGACTAAAATGCACTTGTGCTGATGTCACATCTTAAATTACCTCATATGCTCAGATATGCTGGCTCACACCTCAGAATTTCTCTGTAATGTGACTTCAAGGCCTGTTCCCCCCTTGCTCTTCTCTGGAAAGATTATATCTTAATTCAATTTAAAACAAAACTCTCTGAATTCGACCTGCCCTCACAGAGCCATGTGGAAACTGCTGCGGTTACATAATACTTTGTTGCTTTGTGCTGGATATGTGGTCTTATTGAAGTTTTTCTGGGATCACCGGTGAGTTGTTCCGTGTTCACGTAACTTGTTACTAACTTTGTTATGCTGATAAATTCAGACTTCTGATTGTGATAAATTGACTCATTTGTTTGCACTAGCAGCCTATCTTTGTCAATCTATGTAGGTGTATCTCTGGTCCAAGTGTCTTTCTGTTTGTGTGCTTTTTGTATCTTTCTTGTCCCAGCTGAGGGCTGAGTGGGTCCACTTGGTTCCTGTCCTGGCTAAAATCCACAGTGATTAGTGTGGTGTTAAGTGTAATCTTGACTACCCTGTCCTCCCAGGTTGTGTCCACGGGGTGTTGTTATGGCGGTGATTTCTGATAGGCCATGACAGGGTCATTGATAAGAGACCTCACTGATTATATACAAGGAACTGCATGAATGGCTAATCTAAAAACTGTTCTCTTTCATCATCTCGTGTTCGAGATCCACCTATGGGAAGGGCATCCATACCTGACCTCTGCAGAAGCATCCAATTGCACCAAGTCTGGCTAGACAGACAGAAGCGCGCAGCCAATGCCAGGTAAGGCCCCACCCCCTTACCTGAGAGCATATAAGGCCTGCACGTGACGCTATTCTCCAGTTGTCATTCGCTTCTCGCGATCTCTGCACTTCACAGCTCGGGTTGGATTTATCACTGCTCACTTTTCGTGTCTTCAGGAGGACATATCGTCAAGATCAGCCTCCGCCAGATGCGACAGTCTTTTATTCAGCCCAGAAAAAGCTGTTTTTGCATCCTGAGCCGCCCACGCTCTGTGATTATTTTCACCTGTTCCCCTTTTCCATGGCTGCCCGCCGCTGATTTTACTCAGTTTTTCGCCGGCATGTCGCTCTCTAAACCTACTTCTCTCGGGGGCTGCACATCACGGGCCTGCCCGGCCGCGTGTGGCGCGCTGATCGCCGCTAAGGATCCGCACCCCTTCTGCGTAGTCTGCTTGGGCCTCAAGCATGCTGAAGAGGCTTTGGAGAACACGGAAAACTGCAGCCATTGCCTCACGTTGCCTAAAAAGCTCCTTCGGCGCCGTCTCAAAGTTGCCGCGACCCAGTGCGTCGAGCTCAGCCTTTCGGACTCGGATGGGGGACACGTGTATGGCGTTATTTTAATAACAAATGTCGAGAGCGCATTATTGTAGCGCGAAAGCACATTAATACAATGCGCGAGCGCGAATCTTTCCGCTCGCGCGCGGATTTCCTTTGCTCTCGCACAAAACCGGACGCGCGCGCTCAGATAGACGCTGCTCTCATCCGGAGAGAGTGTGCGCACTTAAAACATGTCTCCTCACTCAAACTGTGTCCTGTGCACTCTCAAAACTCTCTGTGATCATGCGCTATAGATATTAATTCTTTTCACACCTGAATTAAACATTGTCAAAGGTTATCATTATGCACTTTTAAAAAGTAGTCTCAAAACAGATTTGTGCAGGGCCTTTCCTTGATTTTTTTA